TTTTTTTTTTTTTTTAAATGTTTATTTTCTTATTTTGAGAGAGAGTACAAGGGGGAGATGGGGGCAAGGGCAGAGAGAGACAGAATCCCAAGGGTCCACTCTGGTCAGCACAGAGCCTGATGCAGGGCTCGATCTCACAACCATGAGATCATAACCTGAGTTGAAATCGAGGACGCTTAACCGACTGAGCACCAGGGTAATTTCTTTAACTGCTGTACTCTGTGATGCGGATGGGCCATATTTTCTGTTACCAACAGTGCTGGGGGAACATCCTTGGGAGCACATGAAATACTGCCTCTAGGGCTGGGTCTGAGTGGCCTTTCCCGGTGTGCGCGTCTTCCGCCCAACAGGCTGTATTGCTCTCCACGGAGAGCGCGTGCGCTCATCCCGGGCCGCGAGGAGAGTTCCTATCAGCTACTCTCCGTTAGGTGTCTCGGGGAAGGAGTGCAAGTGCACATAATGTTCCATGTTCTGGGGCTGAAGTTTACAGTGGTGTTTTTCTCCAACTCTCGGCTTTTTCTTTGTAGAAGGTGATGCTCTCTTACAAAACCTTCATTCTCGCCCTCGAAGACTCCTTGACCATATGAGTAATCTCCACAGGGAAGATGCCTTACTGAGGGAGGAAAGCAGCGTCTATGACGATATTGTTTTTGTGGATGTTGTTGACACTTACCGAAACGTTCCTGCAAAATTACTGAACTTCTATAGATGGTAAGTTGTAAAAAACGACAGGCAGGTAGAATTTGTTTTATTGTTCTTTGGGTGTAGAAACAATTTATCAACATTAGACCACTGAATTTTTAAGTTTGTTTATTTTTGAGAGAGAGCGCATGTGCATAAGTGGGGTAGGAGCAGAGAGAGAGAGAGAGAGAATCTGAATCAGGCTCTGCACACATTGTGGGAGTCAACTGATGTGGGACTCAAACTCACAAAACATGAGAATATGTCCTGAGCTGAAGTCAGATGCTTAACTGACTAAGCCACCCAGGCTCCCCCTGAATTTATTTATTTTGAGAGCGAGCGGGCTGGGGAGGGGCAGAGAGAGAGGAAGAGAAAGAGAATCCCAAGCCAGCTCCTCACTGTCAGTGCAGAGCCCAACACGGGGCCCGAACTCACGAACTGCGAGATCATGATCTGAGCCAAAGTCAAGAGTCGGATGCTTAACCGACTGAGCCACCAGGCACCCCTGAATTTTTTTTTTAAACAACCCTAAGGTCCCTGAACACCTGGGATGTGATCTGTTGTATCCTGGTTCTTTGCGAGAACTTTTAAAATTCTGCTGTTTTCTTATTTACATAAGCAGATCCATGACATGAATGATCTTTATCAAAAACAGGGCAAAAGTTGGTTTCATTTTGAGTCATCTGCTCTTGGAGTCAAAATCGGTCCTCTGAGTCACTGTCTTGGTGGTCTCGAGCCAACGTCAGATGAAAATCTGTGAGTTTGAAAATGGGCCCTTTTCAGTTGTGTTCATACCCACCAACCTAAACAGCCCGAGTATAGTTTCCTGAAATCCAGGTTAATGATCTGAATTCTGTTCAGCTGAACATCCACATTATATTTCCATCCTCTTCTCCATGCACTTAAAAACCACTTGCCCCGGGGCGCCTGGGTGGCTCAGTTGGTTAAGGATCCAGCTTCCACTCAGGTCATGATCTCGCGGTTTATGAGTTCAAGCCCCGCATCGGGCTGTCTGCTGCCAGCACAGAGCCTGCTTCAGATCCTTGGTCCTTCCCACGCTCACACATTCTCTCTCTCTCAAAAATAAACGAACATTTAAAAATATATAAATAAAAAGAAAACTACTTGCCCTAATTCCAAAACTTTTATGTAAGATGAAATCCAAACACACTTGGAGTCTGCCATAACTTCCCCAACCTTTCCATATTTCATAGACCTTGGTTGTAATTCCTACCTTAATAATAATAATGGCAATAACAACTATTTTATATATATATATATATAGACAGAAAGGGAGAGAGTTAATATTACTAGTTACTCCAGGGTCCCCTAACGTGTCATTGAGCCCTTGAACACTGTCCACCCTAAGTGCAGAGCTAACACCTGTCTCTGTCTAAACCCATAGTGTTTTCACATCTTTGTCTTTACAACTTTGTCAGTGAGCTTGTTTCCTGGTGAGCCCCAGAGTCTGTTCCTGTCCCCTCTGTTGTCCTGGGCAGAGTGGGAGGTGGTCAAGCACTCTGTGGACACAGTCCCCTAGTCCTGAGGGGGAGACGGCCTGATTTGTTTATGGAAGATGATGTTTCCTAGCTAGGGCAAGTTGGTATAATTTGGGGGTCACCTTGTGGGCAGAGGGCAGATATAAATAAGGGTTGGAAATTGGGGCGTCTGGAATATCAGGGTTTTGTTTGGATAACTAGAGTGAGAAAGAGAACCTTCTTTATTTAGCTCGAGGCCGATAGTAGGGGTTCCTGTGGTAGGGGGGCCAAGGCAAGAATATAAGAGGCAAAGAGAAGGAGTGGAGGTCCAGGAAATGGGAAATCCGGATTGTGGAGTTCTAGGGCTTTCTACAGGGAGCTGATTGACGGTTGTGGAAGTTGAGTTGAGATACCGCTGCCAGTTTCAGCTTTGTCTCCGGTGCTCCAAACAGGTCTCTGAGGTCTCGGCCTCTCCCCTTGGTCATTACTGCCACTGTCTTGGGCCATCGTCTCCACCTGCACCACCACTGATGGGCTCCCGGGGTTGTGCTGGGGGACCCGCTCCCGGCTGCTCGCCTGTGCGCCCTCTTCCTTCTCTGTTTAGTTGCTTGGTCAGTGACCGCAGTGTCCTTTATCAAAAAAGTTCCTCCTAATTAGCAAATAAATAGCATGTGTGCCCGTGCTGCTAATGAGAAATAAACCTTAGAAGCACAGGGTTAAGCAATTTGGTGTGGACCTATTGTTGTTAGATTCACCATTGTTGGGCTTAATGAAACTTTCTCCAGATTTCCTTTCTTCAGATTTCTGTCATTTGGTTCCCTAGCAAGACTCTGGGTATTTTGTTTTGTTTTAATCAAAGATGCATGGGGGTTGGCAGGGTGAGATGAAGTCAGTTTTCTACTTGCCCTCCTATGTCTAGGTAAATGAAGTCACCCTCCTGGGCCTCCTAAAGGTCATTTATAATAGTTTAATAGCTGGAAATCGTTTCCAAGGGGAAATATATTTCGGTGTCATAACTCTATCTTTTAAAAACCATAAAATGTGAGTGCAGCATAAATAGTGGCACAGAACAGAGCATCTTGTACAACAGCATTCTGTGTGTGGGGCCTCGTATGACACCTGTCACCTCATCCTGGGCCCCTGTCGCAAACACACGTTACGAGGTTCGAACGCTGAATGGATTTGGTGGCCTGGCCGGAGCAAGGCCAGTAAAGTGTTGCTTGAGCATATGTTCACTTAAGGCATCTTTTTTTTTTTTTTTAATTGTGTTCTTGTTCTTTTGTTCCTTTTATATTTTTTTATGTCTGTTTATTTGTGAGAGAGTGTGTGTGTGCGAGCAGGGAAGGGGGAGAGAGAGAGGGAGATACAGAATCCCAAGCAGGCTCTGCACCGTCAGCACAGAGCCCGACATGGGGCTCGAATTCACAAACCATGAGATCATGACCCGAGCTGAAATCGAGTCGCACGCCTCACAGAGCCACCCAGCGCCCCTCTTTTGCACCTGAAGTCAGCCTGGTACTTCTCTGTGTTATGCCACTTAGTGAACATCCAGCAGGGACTGCGGTTGGCAGCAACTTTCTGAGCAAATGTTCTCAACATCGAAGGAACAAGAAGCTGAAAAAGTGTACAGGCAGCTCAGGGACAGCTTTTCATTAAAATATTAGCGGTGTCACCGCCTTGGCGTTGCTGTCTCCTTGTACGGACGCACTGACTTCCGTGTTCCCTTTTGCCAACAGGACTGTGGAAACAACCAGCTTTGATTTGTTGCTAAAAACAGACGACGACTGTTACATAGACTTAGAAGCTGTGTTTAATAGAATTGCCCACAAGAATCTGGACGGGCCTAATTTTTGGTGGGGAAAGTAAGTTAAAGCTTGTTAGCCACTTGGCCTTCAGGTACCTGATCCAATGGGATGAATTTATAATGAAATACATAAGCTGTCTTTCACAAGCAAAACATGTGAGCTGGGAAACCCCCCTCCTAGGCTCCTGGGTTACTGTATGTTGTTCACCAAGTAGAGGGAAATTCTTCAAAATGAGAAAGCTCAGGCTCATGTAATGAAGGAGGAGAAACGGTAGGGCTTTTATCCTCGTGGCCCAGAAAGAAGTGGTTAGAATAAATTTGTGACACATTTCTTGAAACTGCCGCTTCTTTAGAATACAGTATGGATTAATGAGGGGTTTTTAGCGTATGTACACAAGATGGTCTGGCACTTTCAGAAACCCCACAAGTGTAACCTTGAGAGAATCCGATAGACCATTCTTTTATACGCCACACCTGCCAGCTAGGGAATTGCTTTTCTTAGACTAAAGAAACACTTCTCATTCTTTCCTCACCTTTACAGCTTAGCCCTCTGTAGTGATAAGAAAGGGGTGCGGCCTCCTAGTGGTAGGACAGGGGTCAGACCAATACGAAGAGACCAACTTGTTTTGAATCTCAGTTTCAGACTGAACTGGGCAGTTGACCGAACCGGCAAGTGGCAGGAGCTGGAATACCCCAGCCCCGCCTACCCGGCCTTCGCCTGCGGCTCGGGGTACGTGATCTCCAGGGACATCGTCCGGTGGCTGGCCAGCAACGCGGGCAGACTGAAGACCTATCAGGTGACTGGGGATTTCTGACCCAAGAGTGTACAAGCTTCACCCAGCCCAGGATTCCATCGCTGACACAGAGCCGGCGTTCCCCAGGGAAAGCATGTTAGTCTTTCTGGGTAGGATTCACCCTCAGAGGTCAGGGATGCAGCCCTCGCCTTCAGATCCTGGCTCTAAATTCTATTCCTAAACCTTTTCTTGAGCCTGCTTGTTTTCAGACTATATTGTCTAAGTATAGTCCCTGGAGGAATGGAGGGCTTGACATTCATAAGAAGGAAGACGATACAACAAGTGTTTGCTTTCTGTTGATTCCGTTGACGGCGGCAATGAACAAGCCTCCCGGCTCTCGGATCCACGGTGTCCTTCACACGGTCGTGCCGGAGGTTTAAGGCCCATGAGAAGGGCGGACCGGCCACTTGCTATATTGTCTCTAGTCTTCTCCTTGCGATGTGCAGTTCATGGCCGCTGGCTTTTACTCTGTGTACGGGTGTTAATACGGTCTTGGCATTTGCTGGTAGAATAACGAGAAAACAAGTAGAAAGAGGATTACGAGAACGTGTGGCATCCCCTTTAAAGATGATACGGCATTTAAACGTTTTTCTTTAAACTTCACGGGGCACGTACAGGGTGAAGACGTGAGCATGGGCATCTGGATGGCCGCCATAGGGCCCGCACGGTACCAGGTAAGCAAGCCTGACGGGGGACTGGCCCCGGGGCACTCGGGAGGCGAAGGTCCTGTGTCAGACGGGCACAAACAGTGAATTGAAGATGATTCACAGAGCTGCACTCTTGATTGGATGCACAGTAATCCACATAGGTTCGCATATAGTATTTTTCTGAGTTTAAACCAAAAGTAAATATTTTGTAAGTTTTCCTACTCGGAGAAGAACTGGGTTTTATACGTTTGGTCAGAAATTCTTTGCCGCTTTAAAACTTAAGGAATCAGGCGCCTGGCTGGCTCAGTCGGTAGAGCATGCGACTCTTGATCTGAAGGTCATGAGTTCAAGCCCCGTGTTGGGCACAGAGATTACTAACAACAACCAAAAAACCCTCAAGGAATCAGCTGGCTTAGGTTTCCAGCAGTGGTGGTTCAAGGACCCTTCAGCCCCTCTGACTGATAGAACTAGAACACTGTTAGGTGTCTTATAAAATAAACTGATCAGTGAGCCAGGAAAAGAAATGAATTTGCAGAGACCAGAACAGAAATAGCCCTGAGAAGACAGGTATAAAGCTGGGGTTTGCCTCCAAGAGTTCTGTTGAATTTTGGATTCTTGCGGCTTCCACTTTGGCCACAGAAGGTGGGCAGAGAAGCACGCGCAGGGTCTGCCGGACACGACCTCTACGTGGCGCCCCGGCCCCAGAGCAGGGCACCCTCGCTGCAGGGGTGAACGGGAATAAACCCCCACCTGCTGGGTCAGCTTTGACAGTCTGTGTCATAGTGAAGCCCAATCTGACTTAACTGAACACTGAAGCTAATTTTCTGTATCTGCTAATTGTACCGTCCGTGGTCTCTGTGGGCCTGAGTCTGTAGTTTGATGTTGCTTATGGAGCTTGTTTCTTGATGTGCTGAGAGACCAGTGTGCGTGACCTCATGTTCCTCGGAAATGGAGGTCTGTATTTAAAACTCCTTCCACAGAGGGCCTTACCGTCTACTTGACTGCATTACAAACGAATGTGACTCATGCTGCACACCCACCCAGGTGCAGGCGGGGTTCTAGACACTCAGGGTCAAGGCTGAGACCCAGGTTTTGTTTTCTAAATTACACACACACACACTTTCTCCTTCCCTCCCTCTAGGGGGTCCTGGCTGTGAGTCCCCGGGCCCCGTGGCCTTTTAAAACCCAGCAGGGCCTTTGGGGCACACGTGGACTCTAGCTCCTTTCCTCTGCCACCAGTTCAAACATGCTGTGAAAAGACTTGATTCTTTCTAGCATCTTTATGTTCTGAGACGGCAGGGGTTTCTCAGGCCCTGTTGTATCACTGGGAAGTCGCTGGCGGTTAAGAGTCCTTCCTGTTCACCTTGCCGGCATCCGCTCACCTTTACTACCCTCGCCGTGACTGACCTTGGGCAAAGTACCGCACACTCAGTCTCTCAGTCATAAAAGGGAAAGGATTCCTACCTCACAGGTTTTAGGAGTATTCACTAGTATTTATTTATAAAGTGCCCGCTGCCATCCCCAGAATACCGTAAGCTTCCATGGGAACAGCTGCTGTTACCTCTTCTCGCAGCCGCTGGGAAACTTTCCGTTTGCGCTTCCCAGGCTTTCTGGTCACAGAAATCCCCCCGCTGCCGCCCCCCTCCCGCCCCCACCTGCGGTGGTTTCGGTGGTTCGCACACAGGTGTCTTTGAAGGCCTCTGCCAGCTTTCGTGGTCTGATCTTCCAATCTGTTCCACGGCTCCCAAGTTTACCTTTGTTTTTCTCCAGGACGGCCTGTGGCTGTGTGAGAAGACGTGCGAGACGGGGATGTTGTCGTCACCCCAGTACTCCCCGCAGGAACTGACCCAGCTGTGGAGGCTGAAGGAAGCGTGTGGAGACCCCTGTCAGTGCGAAGCGGCCGGAGGAGGATCGTAACTCGCGGTGTGTGAGGCTGAGGGTGTGTGCAAGCGAGAGTCTGAGGGGAGCCTACAGTTTGGCTGTCGAGTCCATGTGTCTTTCAGGATTGTTCCAGGTTGGCACTTTTTACCTGTAACCAATGTGACATTTCTAAATGTGTGCACAAAATTTCCTTTTTAAAAACCGACTGCTACCGTAGCATAAGAAAAATTTTATTTCTGTATTGGAAGAACATTTGAGAAATGCCAAATTGTTTTATAAAACAAAAGTTTCTAAGAGCTGATGTATCATTTCTAGTTTATAATTAATTACTATCACTTTTGCTTAAAATTTGGCCTAGTTCAGAAATCTTGAGTAATGACAGAGAATGTGAATTTCAAGCTGGATTACAGAATAGTTCCATGAAGCATAATGAGGATAATTAAGGGCCAAAAAGAACTCACAGAATGCCGTGTGGTCACTGATACCAAAGCTTGGGGTTTCTGGAAGTGTCTGAAGTGGGCAACTTGAACTTGAAAAGGAACCAATCCACTCGGTTCAGGACTTTGGTTTTAAAGTTCACTTATTAAGTGGGCCAATTCAAGTCTTCTTTTGCCATTTAACACCAATCCTGAAGGTCGCACTCTGGTACTGTCGGAAAAAAAAAACTAAAATAGGGATAGGAGTCAAATACCTCTCAGGGTTTTAGCGACATAGGGAAGGATACTGCTTAAACAGTTGACACTTCAAATGAGTTTTGCTTTCCTCCTGTCATTGCCCGATGGTTCCCTACTACGCGTGACTTCCCATCAGAGCTGGTCGTCATCTGTAGAAGAAAGTAGGCCCGGTGTGGGTGCAGCTGCAGGAAAGAGCATGGGGTTCATTTTGGCAAAAGTGCCCTAAAAACAGTGCGGCACAGAAGACCGATCATGGCACACGCGTTACACACAGAAGAGGTGCCTCCCTGAGTTCAAGGGACAGTTTCCGAAATGACCTTCCAAGTCCTTTTGGTAACCTTTTAAACTAGTAGGAACGGTGGAACTCCATTAAAACTGGTCTTACGCTGGACCTTAACTGTGTTCAGATCTCATTAGACCAGCTAGGTTCTATTTAATATTTAAAGTAGCCGTGAACTATAAATACGAAATAAAATCAGAAAGTCATTAGCAGTGACCAAGGCTGTGCACCTACTGTTACGTATGTGCCCAGAAATGGTCTCTTCCCAATGAAAAATACCACTTTTTCTCCACTTAGGGCAAGTTGTAAAACCTCTTCTTCTGACAGAATTGTTCCAGAGAATCATTCCTTTCCGGTGAACCCCAGTCATGATAAAACAGCGGAGTCTCTGAACTTGACTAGTTGGCTGTTACCATCGCACTAACAGGTAGTCTCCGTTTTCCACAGAATAGAACTGTAATGACTGCTGGTCATTTTCTAGCTCAATCTCTCTGCCAGGCATCTAAAAACAGAACAAAGGGTCAGTACATCAAAGATGTCTGTTTTTCACCGAGAATCCAGCCGAGTCACAAAGAGCCCAGCCGAATGACGTGTCTTACGGGGGGGGGCGGGGACCTAAGCTTGACTCTGTGTGTCGCTGGGCAACTTACTTTGGGACTTTCGTAGGACAGCACAAGTTCTGACACAGGAACTTTGAGAAGACGTGACAGCAGTCCCTTCACCTTCTGAATGGTCATGGAATCTGTCAAAAGACACACCCTCAGTTCCCTTGAATAACAGTTCCGTGTAAAACGAGCTCACGTGACAAGCCCACAGTCGCAGTGACTCAGTGTTCCATCATTAGGGACAGGCTCACCTGCCCCGGGGCGGCGAGAGCCCGGTCCACACCACCTACTGGACATTCGGGAAGCTGTGGCAAACGGAGCCAATGTTTGACCTAAGTGCCCTTGACAATGGCTTTTCATTACCATCTCAGTGGTGTTTAATATTTCCTCCTTACTCTGAAGAAACCGGAGATCCTATTCTCTGCACAGAGGAGTAAATGTGAGTAAAACCCTGACCTTCCTAAACCTCTGTGATCACTCACTTCTGGATGGCTGAGAGAACGCTGGGGCGGGGCGTCCCGAGGACGTCTGTCCGTCCCTCTGCCTTGGTTTCCTCCCTGGGGAGTGAGGGAGGCCCAAGTGGTCTATAGACTCCCTTTGAGCACGCCCAGTCTGTGGGGATTATGACGTGTAAATGCGCTTGACATGCGAGGGGGATTTACTCAGTGAGCAAATGCTTTGGTTTGTTCAGAAAACGCTATGAACTTCTTTCCAAAGATGGGTTGTGGTAAATACTGGATATTTTGGTGATGAGAAATAGTTTCTCTGAAGCTTTAGCTGGAGGTACAGCAATAGTGTGGTGTTCCTACAAATATCACATGTATTCAAATATTTTTCTATCAAAAATGATTTTTGTAAAAGCTGTGTGTGTTTTTATGCAACTTGTCATAATAAATGTTATCTTTATTTTAGAATAAAAACTGGCCTTATTTATGTGTTGAATATAAACAATTGACACTTGTAATTTTAATGAAGGTAACTTGTTCTTTTACGTGTGAACCTGTGTAGATAATCTTGTCCTTTCAAAAGCCTTAGGTGGACCGGCTTTCCTTGTTTGGAGGGTGATCAGCGATGGGTTAACTCCTCCACAGCAACAGGGAAGACACATTCCTAACTCACATCAGAAACAGAAAGTTTGGTCACAAAACAGTCCTGAGAAGAAATCTGCCTACTTGCACTGTGTCTTTAGAAAAACAGCAAGTTGCACGTAATGCTCTAAATAACAATACCATTTGTAATGTGAAAGTAACACGATTGTCTTCACATTTAGAAAACGTAGAGATGGTTAACTGTCCCTGTGCCTCCCCATGACCACTGTTAGAATTTTAACGGGTAGGGCGCCTGGGTGGCTCAGTCGGTCAAGCGTCCGACCTCAGCTCAGGGCATGATCTCATAGTTAGTGAGTTCAAGCCCCACGTCGGGCTCTGTGCTGACAGCTCAGAGCCTGGAGCCCGCTTCGGATTCTGTGTCTCCCTCTCCCTCGGCTGCTCCTCTGCTCGTGCACTCTCAAAAAATAAAATAGAACATTAAAAAAATTTTTTTTTAAGTTTAACAGGTGTACACTTCCAGGCGTTCCTCCGTTTCTAGAAGGATGGACAGGTTTCACCTGCAGTGGTCCATCTTTTCTCTCTTCACGCCAGTTCCTCTAGACCTGCACAGCCCAGCACAGCCGCTGCGTGGCTAGTGAGCACCTGAAGCGCGGGGAGTACGACTCAGGAACTGAATTTTATGATTTCAATTTAAGGCATTTAAATGGTGGCTCGTGGCAGCCATCCTGGACAGTGCGGCTCTAGACCTACTTCGTTCTCTTTAAAGACCCGTGATACGGCAACGCGTGGCCCACTTATTTCTCCACCGGTGAACATCTGTTTTTAATTCTACCATCACAAGTGCCACAAGGTAGAATGCTCGGTCGTACCGTATACCCATACGTATGGGCAAAAGACGATGTTGCAGTCCTTTACATTTCCTTACTTATCACGTTTTGAAGAACAGTTATGTTGGTGGTTGAACAGTGGCAGCATGTGGCGTAAAAATCAATAGCAAGAACTGTTGTAATCTGCTGGCTTGCTGCCAGGTTTCGAGAACACAGGACTCAGATTCTGTACTGCTTGAAGCAGTAATTATTACATATAATTTCTATGGATGATTCTGCTCTCTGCTGGGTCCATCTGAGGATGAATACAAATCGGTGCATGAACATGGTGGGTGTTCCAGGGGGAACCGCATCTCAGAAGAACTGGGACACAGGTATAGAGGGTGGAAGAGGAGAGGGCGAGGCCACACTGTCGCCATCGGCCTAGAGCCACAGTCACACGCACACCCAGCCACAGTCCTTGACGGATGGAGCTTGGTGCCCTTCCCCAAAGAAGCCCTTGAACAGAAAGCTGAACTCAGGGCTGACAACATTCTTGAGCAAATATTCCTCAGTAATAACCTCCCCAGGAGTTGATTTTATGGATCTGGAAAGTAAAGGGAAAAACAAACACGATCCAAAGCCTACTACATTAACAAAAAGCTCTGGGTCTCTCACCGGTCTGTCCCCGTGAGTGTCTTTACCGACAGTACTTAAGTCTGAAAACAGAATAACCAAAGGGGAGCCACTACTTTGAATTCATGGTGATCTAACAGCAGAATTACAGATCACAGGAACAGAAATTAGACTGCTAAGGAAAATGGAGTAATACTGGTATTAAATGACAGTTACCAGTCAGAAAGGTACCCCTGTGAGTACAAACCCTTCCATAAGCGATACTGTGAGCTTGTGGGATTTGATAAAAAATTAATTTAAAAATAAATGTGAATTGACTGCACTGACAGGCAAGCAAAGAAAAGTCTTTTACTAGAGTCATTTATGGTGATCTACATTCCATTTCTTGGGCAAATCCTCACTGTTCTAAATTTAACCTGTTGATATTACTATTTAACTCTGAATGAAGTTTAATCTTGAGAATTCTTGAGAATTCACAGTATACTCAAAAGATGGGCTGTAATTTTTTCTAAGTTTAAGGTCACTTAGAGCAATCTAGTTTGTTGACACAGAAGTATTTTCGGAATAAAATGAATTCAGTCCCAGCAACACTAATGTTTAGACAGAGTTCCGAAGTAGCTTTTCCAAAAGAAAAGCATTTCAGTGTTTCCGTTAAAAGATCACGTCTGAGAACTTTCCACAGGGACTCCCGATCGGTAAGGAGTCGAGCGTATGAGAAGTCACAGATGTCCAAATAATTCACAGTTCGGGTCACTAGGACACATTTCCTGTTTTACAAAGGGATGGTGAGACAGACCTCAAGCCCGGTGAAACAGTCTCTCTGGACCAGAGCAACAATTTGAGAACTAAACCGAGGTGGATGCAGGAAAAGGCCAAGCCAGTCCAGCACTAATGACTTTGGCTGAAGATGTAAATGTATGCAGGGGCTTCTGGTTTAACAGGACTTTCCCAGATAAGCTGATACGGTTACAGGAGACTCGGGCTTCTGGGAAGGGGTCGGGGGGGGGGGGGGGGGGGGGGGGGGGGAGGACGATGATGCTGGCACGATTAGTTGTATTTTAGATCATAAAAGATTAGTGAAAACGTATCAACTCTAGAAGTTCAGACACTTTGCTTCCAGCCAACTCCTAGGCCAGCAATTCATAAGCGCAACGAGTGGAAAAGCCTGTTTTTCTTACCTGGCAGTTGTTTTTCTGTGACTTTCTGATCAACCTGATTAGGATATTTTATCTTCAGTGCTTGAAGGAAAAAAGGAAAGAGAGTGACTGAGACCTACTGTAATAAGGATTTAAATTACACACACGTTAACAGCAGCTGACAAATGATAATGGCTGTTCAGTACAGCTTGGCTCAAATCCTAATAAAGGGTCTTACCGATGTTGAAAATCCCTTCTGTTAACACTTCACAGAATTACTAACAACAACAAAAATAGCTGGACCAACGTTCTAATGCCATCCCTTCTCCCCTTAGTAGTTCTTTCCTGAGAATTTGGCTGTGTTCCAATGTAAGAAAAGTCACAAATTTACAAATCACAAGTCCATTCACTTCTCACATACTGCCCATTTATAACACCACTAGGTGAATTAAAAGCATGAGAATTGCCAAAATGTCCAATATAAGAATTAAAATTCTTTTAAAATGTTTATTTTTTTTTTTCAACGTTTTATTTTTTTTTATTTTTGGGACAGAGAGACAGAGCATGAACGGGGGAGGGGCAGAGAGAGAGGGAGACACAGAATCGGAAACAGGCTCCAGGCTCTGAGCCATCAGCCCAGAGCCTGACGCGGGGCTGGAACTCACGGACCGCGAGATCGTGACCTGGCTGAAGTCGGACGCTTAACCCACTGCGCCACCCAGGCGCCCCTAAAATGTTTATTTTTGAGAGAGAGAGAGAGAGAGAGAGAGAGACCAGGCATGAGTGGGAAAGGGACAGAGAGAGGAGGAGACAGAATCCGCAGCAGGCTCCAGGCTCTGAGCTGTCAGCACAGAGCCTGACGCGGGGCTCAAACCCACGAACCGCGAGATCATGACCTGAGCCAGATTCGGACACTCAACCGAGCCACCCAGGCTCCCCCCAATATAAGCAGTTAGATAGGCTTGAGAATTCATCATTTCTCTAAAAACTGAAGTACTCACTTAGTACTTACTTAAGAGAAACAATCACTATTAGCTCATCACTATCTGTTTCCGCGCCTAAGGCCGCGAATACAAATACGCGGTCTTTGAGTGTGAGGTTCTTACTTAGTAGCTGGTTTTTGAGCAAAAACGGCTGTCGTGTTTTGAGTTCCCCGTCTTCAGGTGCACCATATTCTGCGGAAGAAGAAATAAAAAAGGATGAGTGATAAGCCTTAAGCCACCGGAAGCAAAAATACAAACAGTAAGTGTTTGCATAGCCTTTTCCCTTCAGGGATAAACCTCGCAGCGGCTGCCACGCTAACCTGGCAGCGGGGTCCTTTTATTCAGTTACTGGTTTGCTTGTTTATTTTTAGGAAGGGCGGACGCAACTGCTTGCAAGCCTGGGACCCTCCATCACTGATCCTCACAGACGGCGCCCCGACTCGAGCTGGCAAGAGGAGGCTGGGCTTTCAGACACTTAGGACACTTTTTATTCAAAGTTTCACCTTTGCTAACCGTTCCCTCGCATTCTGGGTCCTGAGAGAGGAGCCTGGTGCCATCTGGGGCACAGCTCACGGGACACCTTCGAGTCTCGGCCAGAGCGCGCGACACCAGGCCGGGCGCTCAGCACCTCCCCCTGCCTGGGAAGGGGATCCCATAGGAGGACATCAGAAAAGCTGGAGCCTTCCTGCTCCAACTTCTGCTGGGCCAACCAGAGACCGCGTTTCTAGAAATACTCCCAAGTATCTGTGCTTTTGTCTCGTAGCGTTCTCAGCCGTGAAATACTGGGCCGTAGGCACAGGAATGCGTTAGAATCTTCCCTTCCCGTCACCTCCCCCAAGTGCTGCAGAATTCACCTAAGGTGGCCAGGAAATTGGGCCAGCTAATAGAGTGATTTGAAAGCAATTCCCATAGGCAGCTTTTCTTCCTCAAAGATAATGTTCCAGCCTGAAGTGCTTATGCGGTGAGCTTCTTGCATTAGGAAATACATATTAAAAAAAAAAAGAAAATCACATAAAAGTGAAATTTGAAATACTAATGAAGTCAAAACAAAATGGAAAGTTACATCAGGGACTAAGAATCATGAAGTCATGGCTTCAGTGCCTGAGGACCCAGGCTGGCGAGGGTAAGGAAGTACCTTGTGTTCCCAGTGCCCAAACCAGTAGGGGACACGCACACGGGGAGCTCTCAGGACAGAGCGCTGAGCAAGTACCGTGCACTCGTCTGAACTTTCCTGGACGTTAGAATTAGCTGGGGAGCTTAAATGCCAATGCCCAGATTCTACCTTGACATCTGTGTGTTTTTTTAAGTTTACTTATTTTTGAGAGACCAAGAGAGTGTGAGCAGGGGAGGGGCAGAGAGACAGAATCCCAAGCAGGTTCCGCACTGTCCGCACAAAGCCCGACATGGGGCTCCAACTCACGAACCGTGAGGTCACGACCCAAGCCGAAACCGAGAGTCAGATGCTTAACCGGCTGAGCCACCCGGGCGCCCCTTAATTTTTAAAATGCCCTCAGTACGTTTCTGGGGACACACACCCCAATGTTTATAGCAGCACTATCAACAATAGCCAAAGTATGGAAAGAGGCCAAATGTCCATCGGTGGATGAATGGATAAAGAAGATGTGGTATATATATACAGTGGAATATTACTCGGCAATCAAAAAGAATGAAATCTTGCCATTTGCAACTACGTGGATGGAACTAGAGGGTATTATGCTAAGCAAAATTAGAGAAAGACAAAAATCATGACTTCACTCACATGAGGACCTTAAGCGACAAAACAGATGAACATAAGGGAAAGGAAACAAAAATAATATAAAAACAGGGAGGGGGACAAAACGGAAGAGACTCATAAATATGGAGAACAAACTGAGGGTTCCTGGAGGGG